TTTCTTCATTGCTCAGTTTCTCATCTCTCTATATCTTCCTTCTCTTTCTGTTCCCTGAACACCTGCCATTGTATACCTCTACGCCTTCTAGCCAGGCTGTACTGCAACACCTGAGAGCAATTTCCCCAGACCTCGTAGCTGCACTGTTGGGATCCTTGGGAACTTTGCAGTTCTTTAAACTCTCTGATTTTTATTTATACATTCTTTTCTTTTCTTCTACTTCCCCTTTCTGTTTGTCTCCATTTCATTGTCTCTCATCTCTCCACTCCAACAGCAAGCCCCTTTAGCATTCTTTTTTGTTTGTTTGTATGTTTTTGGCTCCTGTTCCTCTCTCCTCTCACCCATATCCATCTTAGCTCCACAAAATAACAATCTCCCCGCTGCATCTTGCCTACCTGCACTGTGCGCTTGACATCACACCACCAAGCAACACATGCACGTCCTACTGGAACCTGCCCTGCACTGATTACCAACCCGCTCTGGTGGCTGTAGTAAGTGCCACAAACAACCCGTCCCAGTAACTCCTCTTCAGCTAGACCTGCCCTGCAGTACCATATCTGAGCGACTGACCCTGCCAACTGGAGAAGGAGGTGAAAAGTATTGTGCCCACAGACAAGCAAACAACAAAGAACACACAGTCCCCCTGCTCAGACATAGTCAAATTAAAAAAAAAAGGGATGAAACAAACAAATGTACAGTAAATAAACGAGAAAAATAACTAGTGAATGCCCCGAAGACAGCAGACAATATCAAAACATTTACAAAAACAGGACAGGATGGTTCCAGGAGGCATCCAAAATAAAACACTAGATAACTCTCCAGTGGAAGAAAATGCACTAGAACTAACTGATAGGGAATTCAAATCTCTAATACTCAGAATTAATCAAGAACTGAGGCAAAAAGATGACACACATGAGGAAAAAATAGAAAACTTCAAGGAAAATAGACAAAGAATTGGAAGAATGCAGGAAAATAATGCAGGAACAAAATGCCAAAATAAATTCACAACTAGAAATTATACAAAGACAACAATTAGAAATCCAAAAGATAAACAACAAGATTTCA